ACATTTAATATAAATATTGAGAATCAAAAAAATTGTAAAGTAGTAATAATACAATTAAAAAGAATAAAGACACAACATTGAATACATGAAAGCCTGGTGGCTTTTAATTATTGCCTGAAAGATATCGAAGACTCGTGTTAAATCAATTTCTTCCCTGAACTTTTCCCAGCAGAATTGCGCCAATGGGATTAAAATCGCATGTTGATTAATTGGTATAAAAAGTAGGTGGATGGTACGAGTAGTATAGCGGAAAGCATTCTTCCGCTATGTTTACAAAAAGTGTCAATCCTGAAAAAAAATAACTACCCGAACCTTGGAAATACTTTAGGGACAAAATGTTTGATTTTATTCCAAAAAAAAATTCTGGGTTGATATCAGACACTTTTTGTAACAATTGTTTACATAAGAAACTACATGTTTTTCTATAATGCAGCACCAACTTCTGAGCATGCCTACAGCTCTTTTAGAAGCAGTTTAAATGTTTTTGGCTAAAAATTATTAAATTAATATTCTTTTTTGAATATTTCGGTATCCAATTACAAAATTTAAGGACGTTAAAAAGCAGAATGTGCGCTTGACTTGCGAGTTTAAAATCAAGTTAGGTTAAAATTGAGCTCTTGGTGATCAAGATAAGTTGGTACAAAAATCAAGTCTGATTGTTTCGACACAGTCAAAAAAATGAGCGCAATTCTCTACTGCAGCTCTACTATCGACTGAAAAGTCTTCAATGTGTTATATCCGGTATATTCAAACCTAAATGCTGTGCTGCTAAATTGACAGAAAAAAAATTGTTTACCCCTTTAGAGGATACAGCACGAAATGAATGAAGTAAAAAAAATCGGAGAAAAGAGTTATGATGAGAGAATTTTAAAAAACTAATACTTCAAAGTGTTTTCCATGCAACAAATTTTGGAAAAATTTGATTAGAGCAACAGAATGAAAAGATTTATCGAGATTAAGAAAAAAAATTTTGCAGGTCGAGCTCGTTTTAATGAGTAAGTTTTGTGACGAGACGAGCCAAAGATACCCAGTCTAGGTCGCGACAATTGAGACCACAGCAAAGTTTGATCGTATCGGTCGGAAAATAAAACGAGAGCCTCTACATAGGCAATTTTGAAAAAATAAACTCGAAGGAGGTAATGTTATATACCAGTCAAAACATCCTGTGATAATAAAAAACAAATAAAAACTACATTTAATATAAATATTGAGAATCAAAAAAATTGTAAAGTAGTAACAATACAATTAAAAAGAATAAAGACACAACATTGAATACATGAAAGCCTGGTGGCTTTTAATTATTGCCTGAAAGATATCGAAGACTCGTGTTAAATCAATTTCTTTCCTGAACTTTTCCCAGCAGAATTGCGCCAATGGGATTAAAATCGCATGTTGATTAATTGGTATAAAAAGTAGGTGGATGGTACGAGTAGTATAGCGGAAAGCATTCTTCCGCTATGTTTACAAAAAGTGTCAATCCTGAAAAAAAAATAACTACACGAACCTTGGAAATACTTTAGGGACAAAATGTTTGATTTTATTCCAAAAAAAAATTCTGGGTTGATATCAGACACTTTTTGTAACAATTGTTTACATAAGAAACTACATGTTTTTCTATAATGCAGCACCAACTTCTGAGCATGCCTACAGCTCTTTTAGAAGCTGTTTAAATGTTTTTGGCTAAAAATTATTAAATTAATATTATTTTTTGAATATTTCGGTATCCAATTACAAAATTTAAGGACGTTAAAAAGCAGAATGTGCGCTTGACTTTAAAATCAAGTTAGGTTAAAATTGAGCTCTTGGTGATCAAGATAAAAAGTGCTAAAAATTGTATCAGAATTGTATTGAATTATTTTTGTTTTATTCGAGGCCACCAGCGGATTTAGGGATTCGACCCCCTTCTCCCTTTAGGGTATTAGCCACGTTCTCCTCAGGGATTCGACCCTGCCGATCCAACGGGTCCTTCTTCGTACTATTTTGAGACATCCATTTTTGGCTGACTGACTCTAAAAATTTTCTAGAGGCGACTTCGGCGCCAGCATATACTAATTTGAGGGGGGAGCGAGTGCCGAAAAAAAACGATTTTTTGGTCAAAATTTTCCAAAAAAGGTCTAAAAACGCATTTTTTGACCTTTTTTCAAAAATTCGCCTGCGGTGCAGAAAATTTGGCCAACAAACATCCGGTCTTTATAGTGATTTAGCTGAGCTCAAAAAATCAAATTGGTCGTCCCAAAAAAAGTTCGATTAAATTTTAAAATTTTCTTGAAAATCCGTCCCCCTCCCCCTCCAGAAAATCCTAGATCCACCCCACTTCGGTGCGTTTTTTTTCAAACGATGTGTTTTTGCTTTTTTTACCAAAAAGTTTTAACTTAGGTATCTGATTTTAAGTTTAGGTGCATGAATTCTCTTTTTGACTTCTCGGTTTGACGATTCTACAAAAAATTCCTCTGCATTAAATTCTCTTATAAAATTTGTAGGGAATTTTGGCGACCTTACACTTTTCTTAGAAGAGAGGTCGTAAGATATCAACTTTTTGTCAAATTCCCGGAAGATTACCGCATTTGGGTTTTCTGCACTAAACGGCCCAAAATCAACATTTTTATATCTTAAGCTGAAATTGATGCAGTCAAATCTGATTGGGCAATTTTAGTCAATCAAATTGAAACAACGCGGTCTGACATCAATCAAACTTCTAGCAAAAAAAAACTTTGCCCGAAACTACCAACAATGGAGAACTTTGTCAAATAATCACAATAATTTCCAGCCACATGTGAAACTTTGTCAAGCAAAAAATCAGTAATATGGTTGCAAGAGAACAAGTTCTTTATTTTCGGTCACTTCGGCTAATTATTTTATCCGTTTGAATATTATTTAGCGAATTGAAATTATTTTCGACAAAAGCAATCAATTTTGATGAATCGTGTCATAAAGCTTCGGGCATGTTGTAAGTAGGTTCACTTATATATTGACAAAACATCTGCAAATCAGTAAAAGTTTACTCTATAAAGTTAGTGGTACTTATGCAAACTCATATGGCCAATTGCTAAGTATGGCCTATCAGTTTTAGCTATTGTGCTCTGCAAGAAATATGTTATCCAAGAAAAATTCCTAACTCACAAGTTTCTTGTAGAAAAGGTCTCTATTAAAGCTTAATTTTGTAAGAAATTGTAAGTTTATTTTGAGAAAAATTCTTAGATAGTGATTTTTGGTCAACCCGGGTTCAAAATAATCATAAAACTGGAGCAATTGTTTTAACAATTTCAAATACTGGTAAAATTTAAGCAACTTTATTCTATGGATTTGAAATTCAAGCTGACTGTGCTGAAGAAAAAAGAAATTGCAAAAATGAGCGCGTTCAAAACGAGTTAAAAAGACAAAAACTGGTCTCCAAAAACGAGTTAAAAAAGACAAAAAACTACATCTCCAGACTCAACATAACGAATTTTTTGGATGCTGGGATCATGTTTACTACCACCTTTCCACCTCCTACTCCTTTTGCGCTTCGTTAAATTACTCCTATTCTTAGGTTCGAATTCTTTTTCTTATTAATTTCTTAATATATTTGGTGCCTGAATTGTTTGTATACAAGCCAGCCGAAGTATTAGCCAGCTACCATAGAATCCAACCGAAAATGCATAGCTTTTACTGAATACCTAAATGTACAAATATATGAAAAAATTACGTACAAGCCCTGCAAGGTTCAATCTCGGCTGGCTTATATCATTACGAGGCCAAACTGGGCACTGGATAGGCGCACAATTTTGTGTCTGTATGTTCCTGGACTCCAAAACTAATCTTTAAACAAATTCCAAAATGTAAGTGGATTCCACTTACAAAACTTCCGTGGATTCAGCAAACATATGATTGTAACGTAAATTTTGTCGACACATTTGTTGTGTCGCGGATTCCGCAACAAGCGAAAATAGCTAGTTGTTTTGGATTCCGTAACTGTAAGTGGATTCCGCAAAAAGTAAGCTGAATCCGAAAATGTAAGCGGGTTCCGCAAACTTTAAGTGGATTCCGAATTTCGTCTAATACTGAACTTGCATCTGAACAATTATAAGCTTGAGCTAGATTCTTATCTCTAGCAATGCGGAATTTAAAAGCAAGAACTTAACCATTGTCAGCGGAATCCACGAACAAGTCTTGAAATATTGGTTACCTAAATCGCTGGATGTCATCTTTTAGTATTTTGGAAACACAACATCGAATAATTTCAATATCTGGAGTCGTTGAGTTGAGAGTGTGTGAATATACAACACACAGCATATCGCCAAATTAGGTCAGTATTTTGGATTGATGGAATCCCAAAAACTAGAATAATATGGAATAAACATGGAATACATTCTTTATTTGGAGTCACTGGGTTGAGAGTGATTAGAAACCCAACGCATAGCAAATCGTCGAATTAGTTCAATATTTGGGACTTCATCGATCCCAAATAGTGGTCAGTAATGGGATTTCATTAATCCCAAACACTGATCTTGTAAATTCCTATTAAGTGAAATCAAATCATGTAATTAAAAGATTAAATTTTAAACGCTACTACATGTATACATATATGTAAACGGAATCCGCAAACAAAATGCGGATTCCATTTACATTTTGCGGATTCCACTTGCACTTTGCGGATTCCGCTGACAGTTGCGGATTCCGCAACAGATCATTTTAACTATAGCTTGTCTTATTGTTTGTTTATGGTTTCCACAAACTGTTTTAGATTCCGCAAATACGGTTGCGGATTCCGCAAATTTGTCTATTTTTGGAGCGATTTTGAGCAGAACAGTGTTTTAAGTATTTGTTTGTGGAATCCGTAACAGCAAAGAAGATGAAAGAAAAGTAGCAATGATGTGGATTCCGCGACAAATCTGATTTTGGACTGTTGTGGAATCCGCATACAATGCACAGAATGCTAAGTTTGGCCTCATAATGATATACTAAAACATTTATACATCGGCTGCACAATAATCTCTATCCGGATATGAGTGGATTGTTACCTGATTGAGGTTTGAGAATATCCTGCCCCCTGGGATTCCGAACTTGCCCCCCTCTACGTTGACGAGGTAGTGGCTGACCTCATTGTCCCAACAAGTAGACAGCACAAAGTACATGCCCCGCCTCCGCACTCTAAAAATAGTAAATCATACAGGGGTTACCTCATTGGGTTCTTTTTAAGATTCTTTCAGATTAATTGAGGTAGTCGATTTTTAACTGCTATAAAATTCGCTCAAAGTAGTTCCTAATTCTCATTGACAATTGAAAAACCCCTTCACAATTCCCTAATGTGAGCAAATTTCCTTCCTGACTTAGGTTATATTTGTCCCAAAACCCGTATGTGAGGACAAAGATTTTAATTTATTTGGCTTTTTTCTTTCATTAATTTCCTCAAAAATGAGCAAGATCGTCCCGGGAACTTCCTTGTTAGAATTGAAACTTGAGAATTTGCACTGATTTTGCATGCCTAATTTTAATATATTTCACCTGTGATCATTTTTTGTTAAGTTATGACGGTTTAAAGATTGCCATTTTGGCCAATTTGGGACAATTACGATATATTTTGCACTATCAACGCGTAAGCGGAGATTTATTCTGTCTTAGAAATAGTTCCAAGTCGGTTGAAAGAAGCTTATTTGTCATAATTTAGTTGTAACTACGAGCAAAATCTATCACTTTGTACTAAAAATGGTGTGGGATTCCGGGTATGATACGGGGGATGATTTTCGCAAAAATTTCTCAAATAAAAAAAAATTTAAAAAAATTTAAAAAAATATATATTTTTTTATTTAAATTTTCATGTTTCTACTGCTCCATAGACCTTAAAAAGCAGTCGGAACATTCGGGGCCTCGCCCTGATACGAGCAGTCTTGTTCATGTTTAAAATTTATTGTTCCGACTTTCAAAAATTTGTGCTCGGGGTGGGTTTTTGTTTCTTCAGACAAGTTTCGATTTTTTAACTAGCCATTTTTGACGGAATTTTTTTTATATTTAAAAAGTATTGTTGTTCTGAGCTTAAATTTGAAAAAATATTTCACCCGTGATCAGTTTTCGTAAAAATATGGGGATTTAAAGATTGCCATTTTGGCCAATTTGGGGCAATTAACGCGCAATATTTTGCTACTAGGAGCGAAATTTACCATTTTGTACTTTATACTTTATATGGCGTGTGGGGGGGACATTTTTCACAAAAAAAACTTTTTAAAAAAGTATTCATTCTATTTTTATTACACTTAATTTTTTCATGTTCTCATTGCTCCATAGACCTTAAAGGCAGTCGGAAGATTCAAGGCTTCGCCCTGATACGAGCAGTCTTGTTCATTTTAAAATCTGGCTGATGTTATGCCTTACTTAGGGATGCATTGTCATCAATAAAGCTGATTGCGGACTGAATGTGCCTAAGTTTTCGAAAAAAAAACATTTTTTAGATGAAAAACAGTATTTTGATGTGCGTGTGAAGTTTAAATTTCGGCCTGAAGTCCCTTCGGCTTAAAGTCCTGGTGGCTTGATTACCTCGACCCTGTAAGCGTAACGCGAATTATTTATGCGTGGATAATTATCCAGTACAACAAAATCGTTACAAAATAAAATGAATTGAGGGTGAGGTTTCTCATGCTTGAGGGACCGAATGCTTGAAAAATTTCAACCAATCAAAATCGCTAATACCTTTCTCACAAACTCGAAGTCAATATTACATAAAACTCATTAAATCAGTGGAAAATAATCAAAAATATTACAAATTGCGGGTTACAAGCGTCTTAGTATTCAGATAAACATCAAGATTTTTGAGTTCAAAATCAAAAGAATTTTTTTTAGGCTTGAAAACTCATCTGCTTATTATCTAATCGGTCAATAATAACACTAATGGCCTGAATTTATTTTCTCACTTTGAGATTTTTGCGATTTACTTTGAGATTTTGAATACTCAATTCTGATTGGCTGATAGTAAGCTAGAATTAATTTCAAGCATTCGGTCCCTCAAGCATGAGGGACGCCACCGAATTGAGGCTAGCTAGCTAAATGGTCGTATAAGTTTCGTGCTGCTCAAATTTCACACTTGATCTTTGATAATGTCCAAAATTATTGTCCAAATTTCTAATTTTTCAATATTTGGGGCAGTTGGAACATTCAATGAACGCTTTGCCTTAATATACGAGCGGTCTTGTCTAATTTTAAAATTGTTACGAAAAATTTACTTTGTCCAATCGAAGCATCTTTTTTTTGAAAACATCTTTTTATTTCGGCCAATGAAAATATTCAAAAAAGATTGAGTTGCTAGTTGCTAGGCAGTTCGAGATAAAATGTATTTGCACAGAAATTGCCTTTTTTGAGATTATTACGCCTGTGCTGTGGTACAGCTAAAACTTTCAAATGAAGTTTTTTAGATATTTTTTGTTATGTGCCAATGAGTCTATTTTAGTCCCGTCATATTCGTTTAATGGTATATATTGGCGCCAAAGGCGCCTTTACAAAAACTTTCGGGTCAGCCAGCCAGAAATGAAGGTCTTAAAATAGTACCAAAGGGGGACCCTTTGGGTAGTCAGGGGGTCGAATGCTTGAAGAAAAAGCCCCCCCCCCCTGCCCCCCGCTCCCTAAATCTGCTATTGCTTCAAACCCCTCTTTTCCATTTAGCGGCTCATAGCATCTAATTGGATTCGTTTAGGGCTCTTTTTAATCCCCCCTTTTTTTTCTTCTGAAAATCAACTTGCGAAAGCCTGTTTAGTATGACATTTGATATTCGAAATAGAATTGAAACATCTCAGCGTGAACACATTTCTACAACTTCTCTCACATTCAACCTGCCATATGAACAATTTTTAAACAACATACAGAAAAGTGCCGTCCTTGACGCCTGTCTCCCTCAGTCTCCTCTGGCACTCGTCCCTGGATATGTCTCCGTGGAACCACTGCTGCTGCTCAAAACCCCTTCTCTTGTTGGACTGCAGACTTCGAGTCAGAGTAGACGCCGACGCATCACTGGCACCGAACGGCTGAAATTAATTTTCTAATACCATTTATTAACGAGGGAAAGGAATAACATACGAGCCACTTCACTTCACGAGCCACTTAATCACTTCACTGACGCGCCCTTTTTTCTCTGTCTCTTCCCCTCTCTTCTTAATTTCTGATAGGTTATCCAGCCTGTCTAAGCGTAGTTTGTTTCTTTTATTTCCCCACAGAGTCATTTTGTTGCGCGAAGCTTTTTTTCGATTCAAGGCTGTTTTTTTTTGCGTCTAGAATTTTCACGTGGTACCACTATTGCCTCCGTTATCGGTCAGTCTGTGGTAGACCTGAAGCTAGATGTCAAGTGATAGCTCGACCTCACAGACTATCATTTCCATGTCATGGGATCGAATACACGATCTGACTATCTCGAAGTTAACAATTTACCACTATGCTAAGTGCCTCATTAGAATATTCGATAATTTTTTTCTATATTCATCCGACATACAGAAACCTGAACAATTCTCATAGCTAATGATTTTGCCTTTTCGTTACAACTTGAGTACACGAATCTCAAATCGGAGAATTTACGTGGTTTAGGTTTTAGTAAGTGGTACTTATGTCAGAAAAAAATAAGGATAGCCAATTGCTGTCGAAAGAGCATAGAATGTTCCGACCAAACTGATATAAAAAAACTTGATAAATTTAATTTTTTTTGTAATTTTAGCCTTAATTTTTTGTTATTTTTTGGTTTATAAAAATAATATAAGCCTAATTATGACAGAAAAACATCTTAAGTTTTTTCAAACATCGTTTTTTTCTAGGTAATAGCCATCTAGCCACAGAGAAAAAGTTATACTTTTGATCATAATTCTGTGAAAGTGTCAAACTTTATTCTCAATGGTGAATCTATGAAGGCAGTTTTTCTGCGAGATTCTGCTGACTAACCATGGGTTTTCTTATATGAGAATTATTTTTGGCTCTTTTTGTTAAAGGGCAGGTTCGAAATCGTTGCTTTTTTGAAAAACCAACCAAAAAAGTTCAGGCCTGGTCTGTTAGATTGCTCGCGGAAGTCCAGGGCAATACAAGCAAGACTTTGACAGGGATGGACTCTCGTGGAAAAGTAACTCGGGCGATTCTGTTGTAATACAAGCTCAAGATTCCAACCAAACTCACTGTTCAGATAGCAACAACCAACAACGAATAATTATTTTTCTTTCTTGAATTTTATGATTTGTTTCCCTCGTGAAGGAGTTGGAAAGGTTGCAAAAAAACCAATATACGTAAACGTTACTGCTTGTATCGGAAAAAAACGCTGAATTTTCCAATTGCCAGTTAACTAGTCTCCAACAGTTAACTAGTCTCCAACAGTTTTTAGTTTAAAAAAAATCAACAAGTTTAAATTGGAACCTGATCTAAACTACATTTTATGATTGGATAAATTAGATATTTTACCACTGTAAAGTATTTAATATTAACCAATCATGATCCATCTAACTAACAACCCACTTATTTGTAAGTGCTGGAATTACTTGTAATTTCAGCACCAGAGAGATTTGAATTTAACTTAGAAATTAGTTGACTCTCCAAGAAGACTTCAGCAACCGCAATAAACCAGTATACCCTAGATCTATTGAGCCTAGCAGAGACTAGTTAAACACCCTGAGACTAGATAGTATAAGAGTAAGATTAGGATCGGTATTAGACTAAGAAGTTGGACGAATCTATCCGGCCGAAAATAAGATAGCGTGACGAGCAGACGGTGTACCCTATCCGAAATTACTCTATGAGTTAACCACCTCGGTTATAACTCATCTGGTGCGACCATAAGTCTCGAACAAGACCTTAATAGCTTAGAATTAACCAAAAATAGATTAGAATTTAGACAAAACATTTTTAAAATGTTATACGACGATAATTTAATCGAAATGTCTCTACGACTCAATAGATCAAAGCCAATATTCCGAACGATAAGAGAACTACCCGGAATTGGAAGAAGACCTCGAACCAGAGACGACATACGACAAAATAGAAACTTACCAAATAGTTATATGATAGTACGGCAAAAGCCAACACAAACTTTTATATTTAGAATTTTATTAGCAATGAATTTAGATTTTCATTTGCAAACTTAAATCTTGAAGTCAATCTTCATGCTCATTTCAGGCGCTAAACAAAATATTAATATACAATAACGATTGATAAAAATATCTCAGATCGTTTTCCTAAAATTCTGCAGTATTATATAAAACATGTTTGGAAAATATTTATTGAAAATCAAAATAAAAATTAGTAGCATGACAATAAACTGTTAGTAATCATAAAATCATCAGTTGTCTCAGCTTCATCACCTAAAACATAACAGCAATCATAAGCTCACTAATATCATTAAAACACTAAATCTTTTCTTAAACAAATTTAAACCATTTTAAACTTAAATTCACTTAATTTTAAAATCAGATCATCAAGGCTTATCCTTGGATCTTAATTCATTTTCTATTTAATTAAATTTTAAAACTTGATCATCAAGGCCTCTCCTTGGATCAAAAAGAACAATTTTGTTCTCCCCCACCCACTTAGTTAGTGTCTAACGACCTCAAACGTCGATTCACTATCCAACCCTTTCGCAAAACCCAAGACTAATAGAAATTTTTCAACAAAACTAACCATTCAAATTAGGATAAACAGTGAAGAACTTCGGTTATTCATCCTTCACTTGAACCCTCCTCTTATCAAGACCCAGGATATATCATAGACTTAGTAAGTTTAAAATAGTATCTAACGAACTACTCGCGTTCTAATTATACCTGAACCTTGTGGATCGATTTACTATTCTCCAACCCTTGAACACAATCACTACCCCTAAGTAAGATTAAGTAAGTTAACACCTTAGCTTATACTAGCCACGAGAAAGTAAAAATCATTCTTCGGAATCGAATTATTTTTCTCTCCAACCCTGAACAAATAGACCCAGGTTAAGCTAACCAAAAAATTGTAAGGACTAACAATTTAAGTAAATAGAATTCATCTAACAACTTTTTGCATCCGTCATCCTAAACCTTATGTCATTTAAAAATCTAGGAAACAAACAAACAATCGTTTTGCACAACTGTGAAATAGATAACAAAAAATACGACCTTGTAATCACACCTCACACACAAACAGTTGGATATATTAGAACAAAACGACAAACACTAAAAAGAAAAACAATAACTAAACAAAGACAAATAACACGAAAAAGATTTTCCAAAAATAGAAACGCATTCTCATAATCAGAAGTCAGCAATTTAGACGAACTCTATAAATTAAAAGAATCTATAGATAAAAATTGCCCCATACACGATCAATTATATTTTTCTGACTCAGAAACAACATCAAATTCATCAAAAAGAGGAAAAAGACGAATAAAAAAGCAATATAAACACAAACCAGTACATTTATACAACTGGAATCAACCAATTAGACACATCGATAATTACCTATTAACAGTCATTAAACGAAAAAATGAGCCAAACACACACTCCAAGTGAAGATAGTCCAGATGATGACGATATCTTCCCCTTCCTCGTAGATGCACCCACTGATAGAGGACAGCATATACTTTGCAAGAATTTACTACTAAATTTATTTGAACCCGGAATCAGCCCATGTACAGCAGAGTTCCCCGATGTAAAAATCAAAAGACAAATTATTGATCACTATCTGAAAAATATATGTAATTTGACACAACACTACGGAATCTACACCATAGAATTAACCTCACCAAACCCGAATCACCGCAAATATGTAATTCAAACAGACGACCTTGATTTAGAATTTTCAAAAGTATTCTCAGAATATATAAAAAGCATACAATATCATAACTCACAAAGAGCAAACTCCATATTTACTAATGAAGTTTTTGCAATAATATATAGTTATATCTCAATATTAGAGAACGAAATTCCAATCCCAAATGTCTCACCGACAGAGACATCCAAACATATAAAGGTACGACATGAAATCACACTAATTTCAACTTTTCTACATATAATTAAAGAAAATTTCACTAAAGATGATGTTTCACAACATACAAAACATGACTTACAAAAAATTTTGGCATGGTTTATAATAGATTATTTCACACATAATATAGATTTAATTTCACAAGCAAGAAAAAATTTTAGACCTCAAAATTCAAACGATGATACCGCCATCACAGAACAGTCAGACTACGTTTGGGACCCCGAATGGTCTCATTATGCATTTATAAATATCCCACAATCAATTGCAAGTCAAGCAATAAGTACAATATTTTATACCAGAGATTATGTAAGAGTAGTACCATTAACAATTGATGCAACACCATTAAACTACAATACATTTTTACCCGATACGCGAAATAACAGCTTAAACTCGACCGTCATACACAATGAAAACCTTAATGGAACTAGGAACCTCACTCAACAAGATATTCAAACACCATCACACTTCATAAATGAAGAAATTGTACAAACAACAACAACTACACAACAAAGTATTTCACCAATACGTCCAATTTTAACAACACCAAGAAATACAAACACTTCACTAGCACAGGTAACATTACAGTCAACCGTTAAACCTTCGGTTGCTCCAAAATATTCACAAATGGATTACCAAACATATAGACCCATGACAATACCGTCGAAAACACGCAGAACATTCACAAGAAACAATTTTGCGGAACATAATTATAATTATACACATTCATCAAAAACAAACTATCCTCCACGAAATAATAATAATAACCAAATCAGATCTCGATATTGGAATAATCCAATGGCAACAACCAATTCAGTAAATTTTCAGGCTAATCCACATCCTCCACAGGATTATAGTGAAAATTACCCATTCTTTCAACAGAATAAAAATAAAAAACAAACACCTCATCAAACGGATTACCTATCCTCTGATGATGATCATTTACAACCAGATATATTTGCACCATATACCCAAGAATATCACGGACAAGGAATGCAGAAACCATATACACATCATAGAAATTTTTCTCCACACCAGATAGATA